TTCTGCTTGTGATAAGATGGTCTCTTTGGTACGCCCCCTCCTCCATTTCCGTCCGTCTTCCTTGTTGACAGTTTTGTCAAATTGGTTGAAAACAACAAAGCCCATGCTCTGTAATCCAGGTCTACAATCCAACATTTTTCTGTCAGGTCATCTGGACAGTTTCGGGTTTTTTTTTAGGCCCGAGCAGCTAAGCGCTGCGCGCTGCGAATGCGAAGGCCTATTGTAATTGTGTCGTTTTTAATTTTTTTCCGTCAAAGAGCGCTAATTTGGAGGCCTTAACATATCCCACAACTCACCATATTTGACCCAAAATTGTCCCCCGCGAGAAATTTGAGGTATTTAATGGAACCAAAAGTGGGCGTGGCCAAACTGCTCCACAGCGCCCCCTAACGTGAGATATGACAACTGGTAAGTCCTAGAGAGCTGAAATTTGGTACACATGTACAACCCACCGAATCAAGAAAAAATGTCTCTTGGAGGTATGCCTTAAACCAAACAGGAAGTCGGCCATTTTGGGTCAAAGGGTCAATTTTGGCCGTTTTTCACTTTTCGTACACGGCGAATTTGAACGAACTCCTCCTAGGGATTTCGCTCAATCGGTTTCAAACATTCGCCATTTTGCTCAGTAGGCACGGGGGACCAAAAGTTATCAAAACTCAAAATTATGCTTCACGCCAAAAATTTCCAAACGCTACAACTTTCACGTTGAAAAACAGAATTGTACCAAATTTGGCACGAGTCATCCCTGTCCCATGCCCGACGATACCCTGAGGTCAAATTTTGACGTCATCAAAGCCCCGCCCCCTCAGAACAGGAAGTGACTTTTTTGCTTGGAATGCTCCCTCCCTGACACTCTTGACCCAATCAGGATGATCCTGTGTTAGAAGACAGATAACAAGTTGGTCTGACTTGCTTTGAAGCGCAAAGCGCTTTCGCTGGAGGATGTGGGCGTGGCGGCGTGGCGAATTCAGAAGTGACGCAGTTACAATACGTTTGGCTCTAAATTCCAGAGATTTGATCCGAGGTTCATGAAAATCACTATGATTGATCATTGCCCGCCCCTTGAACAGGAAGCCATGATAATTGCCCAATAGCCTCTCTAGCGCCCCCTAGAATATTTTAAAACCTCAGCCCCAAGCCATTTTTCGACCTATAAATCTGAAACTCGGTGAACATGTGTATCTTCTCAGGACCTATGAAAAAGTCTCTTGGAGCTCCGGTCCAAACTCAACAGGAAGTCGGCCATTTTGGGTCAAAGGTTAATTTTTGGGCGTTTTTAACGGCGAATTTTAACGAACTCCTCCTAGGGATTTTGAAGGATTGCCTTCAAACTTGGTTAATAGGCCTTTAAGACATTGGAGAGTAAAAGTTATCAAAAGCTTTAGGTTTCGTTTTGGTAAAGGGGCGTGGCCAGGCCTCAAAGTTGAGCTTCACGCCATAAATTTCCAAACGTTATAACTTTCAACTTGAAAGACAGAATTGTACCAAATTTGGCTCGAGTCATCCCTGTCCCAGGCCCGACGATACCCTGAGGTCAAATTTTGACGTGATCAAAGCCCCGCCCCCTCACAACAGGAAGTGACTTTTTTTAATTGGAATGGTCCTTCTTTGACACCCTTCACATAATCAGGATGATCCTGTGTTAGAAGACAGATAAGATGGTCTGACTTGATTTAAACAGCAAAACAGTTATAGCTGGAGAATGTGGGCGTGGCGCCATGGCAAATTAAAAAGTGACGCCGTTGCAATACGTTTGGCTCTAAATTGCACAGATTTGAGCCCAGGTGAACCAAAATCACTATGATTGATCATTATCCACCTTTGAACAGGTTTCCATGATAAGTGGCCAAGAGCCTCCACAGCGCCACCTACATTCTTCTTACAGTTATATCTCAGTGATACAACATCCGATCTGAACCAGATTTTTGGTGCGTCATTACTGAGAACCGATGGACATTTTAGTTTTCTTGTTTAATATGTGACTCAAGTGCGCCCCCTACATTATTCAAACTGTTTTGGCTCAGTGATATATCAGCCGATCTGCACCAAATTTATGGTGTATTATTATTTAGCCCTGGAGGACACAGTAGTAATGTTTTTTAAATTTTGACTCTAGAGCGCCCCCTACAATATACCAACAGTTATATCTCAATGATATGTCATCCGATCTGCACCAGATTTTTGTGGCATAATGTGTGACCATGTCTATACACATTGTTATTGTTGTTTAAAATTTGACTCAAGTGCGCCCCCTACATTATTCAAACTGTTATATCTCAGTGATATGTCATCCGATGTGGACCAGATTTTTGGTGTGTGATAAGTGAGCACTTAAACACACAATGGTATTGTTGTTTTACTTTTGACTCAAGTGCGCCCCCTAGATAAATCAAACTGTTATATCTCAGTGACATATCGTCCGATCTGCATCAGATTTTTCGTGCTTGACTAGTGACGACTTATGGACACAGTGGTGTTGTTGTTTAATATTTGACTCAAGTGCACC